CTGAGAAGGGCAGGGGCGATTCTAGGATTTTTTTTAATGGGTTGGCATAGGACAGAACCAGTCAGGGGGGGCCCATGGCAAAAGTCATGTGCCCCAACACAAGTGGGATGACATAAAAATGGCACTGCACAAGTGCCTGGACAACGCATCTCTCTTTTTATAAATAAAAACCATTGAACAGACAATAATTGTTCTCAACTTATTTTATTGTCCAAACAGACTGTGTGTGTGTGTGCCAGTTTCAGGGCTGCTCATTTGCTGGCCAACTTGGCCCTGCCTGGTGGATTGGCTCTGACCTGCACTGCACTGTACTGCATCAAACTGTCTTGGTTTCTTCTTGAAAAAGCCTTGCATGGTGTAGTCCTCACTGGCCCTCTCTGGCTGGTTCTGACCTGTGCTGCCAGGTTCAGGGCTGCTAATTTGCTGGCCAACTTGGCCCTGCCTAGTGGATTGGCTCTGACCTGCATTGTACTGCATCTTCTTCTTCTTTTTCTTCTTCTTGAAGAAACCTTGAATGTATTGCTGCTGTGCCTGACTTTGTCCCCTTTTCATTTTTCCCCCCACAAAATTCTGTCTAAAAATAAACAAACCTCCAAATTAATCATCAATATTACACAAATAGTATATTTAATAGCCATATTCTCATCTGATTAAAGACAAAATCATTTAAATGTGAAGCTGTTTTTGGACATTTATTTAATAGCCATATTCTCATCTGATTAAAGACAAAATCATTTGTCATTAAATGTGAAGCTGTTCTTCGACATTGCAAACGAAAATATATGACTACCACGCAAAAATGTTTGTTTATTCAATACAAACAGGTGTGTACTATTCTACATCTTAAAATTCCAAGTGTCAGAATGCTAACATTATTAAAACCCCACATTTTAGCGTTAACCACGTTACTGCAGACAATTTGACAAAGTGATTGTGCCTTTAATCTTTGAAACAACAGCAAGAAACGTAACATAACGATTTCTATTTTAAGCTGTGCTGGTGCATCACGGCTGAATAACACTACTAAGCACAAACTCTAATTTTAAATGCACCCGCACCGCAGATGTTATTATATATTTTGAGGGGGGCCGGTGCCACCCCATGCCACCCCTCTAGACGCCCCTGGAGAAGGGGTTGGGGGGACAAGATGGGCTCGGGTCGGACTCGGGCCAAGAATTCTGATAAGCTGTCGGACCCGGGCCGTGCTAGGGTCTGAGCGTCTCGGGCCAGGGCTGGGCTAGGGCCTATATTTGAGGCCCGTGCAGGGCTCTACCCTTGGGTTAAATGGTTTAAAAATTTATTGTTTTATTACAATGGTCACTACAGGACTAGCAGAAACATTCTGACCTCAACACACTAAAAGACCGTTACCATCGACTGGAGCAGATTCTTTGACAGTCAGAGAGGAGCACACACCTAACGACTGGCGCGTCACGACTGGACAAATTCTGCCAAACCAAAAACAAACAAAAACAAAAAACTCACAAAACCCGCAGCATGCTCCCACAGCTGCTCCCACCCCATCAAAGACCACAATGCGGACAACACAGTGCTTTTAGCTATTGAAACGTAAAGGTTTATTTTACTTTTCTTAGTTTGTACTTAATATAACAGAAAACATTAACTTTCCTGCTATGTTGGTGTTCCTAATAAATGTCACAGCAATGTGTCTTGACTATGTTTTGCATTAAGTCCGATGCTTCTCTTTCTTTTTGGAATTATTGCTTGAGAAGACACATTTTATTATGTATTTTCAAATGCCTAGGCCTATGTTTAATTCCCTTAATTATAACATTTCTAGCATTCTTTTTAAACGTTTAGTCAAACAATAATATATTATCTCATGTATGTCGCTTAAAAATGAATTGGTTTTAAGTAAAAATGGTAGGCTTTTTTTTCGTTACATTTCCTGAGTTACAGGTTAGAACGAAATAAAACATTACTTAATGAATTCAAGGCACTGTAATTTCCATATCCATTTGACGTAAAACTATTATATATAATTAATTTATATATATATATATATATATATATATATATGTATATATATAGGCTATAGAATAATTTTATTTCGTCATATTCGTGATTTATGATTTTTTTATGAAAATGTATTTTTATAGAATAGCTAGGGTATTCATTATTCATTAGCCTATTTGTTATGAAGTTGATTTAAAATTCTTCATAATACATTTTAAGAAGTTAAAAGTTAAGAAAGAATGAAATTAGCCTGTGTAGGCTATAGATGTGTA